ACACACACACACACACACACATTTAAAATAAGAACATCTGTGTCAGAAATGAGAAATTACTGTTTTTTGTTTTATTTTTTATGAATCCTGGCAATTTTTGGTGAGTATGTATAATTATTTTCTTGTACCCTGTCACAGGTAGTGAAATGGTGGAGGCCGAGCTGAGAGGTATCCAGATTGTTACATCACCCTATACGATCCACTTTAAAAGAACTCCAAAATATTTCACGCCAGGAATGTCCTTCGATGTTGTGGTAAAGCACTAATTTACATTTACATACTCTGACATAATGTTACACGGTAAAGTCATAAATTTGATATGTCAGTTGTGGCATTTGAAGAAATTATAATTCCTTTAGAAAGTGTCAGTGTTGGTCAAGTTACTTGAAAAAAGTAACCAGTAACTAATTACTGATTACTTATTTTCAAAAGTAATTAATTACTTAGTTATTTTTTTAAAAACACTATTTACAACCTGAATAGGTTATAAAGCGATAGATCTTTCAGCCCAATTCTACCTTTTCTGCTTTTTCTGCCCTTACTTTACTCGTTACTTGAAAAAACAGTAACAAGTAACACGTTACTGTAACAACGCTGTTTGTTACACGTAACGCGTTACTGCCCATCACTGGTCATGATTCAGTTTGTCTTGTCTGATGTTAGGTTGAAGTTTTAAATCCTGATGAAACACCAGCAGAAAACGTTCCAGTAGTGATTAATCCTGGGGCAGTCAGGGGATTCACTGCAGCTAACGGCATGGCTTGGCTCACCATCAATACAGAAGGAAATGCAGCTGAGCTGAGAATAACTGTAAGTTTTAAGTTCTGAAAAAGCTCTAAAAGGAACCCCCAGCAACAAAAACAACAATACTTCCACTACTGCTGCCACTACTTAGAATAAAAACAAGAATGACGGTATTAAAAATAACTTTTAATAATAATAATAGGGCAGCACAGTGGCTGCCAGAATGCTATTTTGGATTGTTCTGGCCCACTTTAACGCTTGCTCACACAAATGCTGCCCTCAAGCAATAAAGATTATCACTTACTTATCACTTAATTTAACTTGTTGCTCATTGGTTATGTATGCTTACCTTTAATTACAGGTCGTGACTGATCCTTGTATACTTGCAAATGAAAGCACATGAATGTTTGTCTTATTCTTAGTATGGCTAGTGTGTGTGTCTTTAATTACAGGCAATGACCGATGACAACATTCTTACACCTGATAAACAAGCAAGAGCAGAGATGACAGCAAGACCGTACCAGAGCAAGACCAGAACTTTTATCCGCATAGGTGAGAAAAATCTTGAAGAAGCATTGCATCAAGTAAAAGTATAAAGATTGTTACTGTAGGTAAAAGTGGAAGTATACTGTGTGAAACGGGCACTAAAAGATGTGTTCAAACTAAAGCATTTATTGAAACATATTTGCAGGTGTGGATGCAGCTGAGCTCAAAATATCAGACAATCTAAAAATCAACCTCAATCTCAACCAGCAGCCAAATCAAAATCATGATATCACATATCTGGTGAGAGATGTATTTATTTGTTGTTGTATATATAGCTATTTTTTCTGTGATGCAACAACTGGTCATAGTACATACATGTGTGCTTAAGGTGTTAGGTATTAATGTGTAAATGTGTTTCCCCAGATCCAGAGCAGAGGTCAGCTAGTGAAACATGGCCGTTATAAGACAAGAGGCCAAGTACTGATTTCCCTGATACAACCAATCACCAAAGAAATGCTGCCATCGTTCCGCATCATAGCCTACTATCATACAAGTTCAAATGAAGTGGTATCAGACTCTGTTTGGGTGGATGTAAAAGACACCTGCATGGGCACTGTAAGAGACTCAAGAGCTGTGAAAGAGTGAATCTTTACAGCCAAAATGCACAAATGTTACTAATTTCTACAGTAGTACTCATTTTTAACATATACAAATTT